GACCCATGGCGGGCCAAGGCAAAGCCAAGCAGCGACAGTGGCAGAGCCTCTGTGATAACATAAATTTAAGAAAGAGAAGAAAAAAAAATGGGGAGGTGAGACAGGAGTTAGAGAAAGGAGTGAGACGATGTGCGAGAAACAACTCTGCAGACACCAAGGTCAGTGAAGCAGGAGTGGGGAGGAGGTGCTCCAGGCACCGTAGCAGACAGCCTTCCCTTGCAGCTCGTGTTGAAGACCACAGTGAGGCAGGCTGTGCACCTGCAGTCCGTGGAGGTCCACGGTGGAGCAGATCTCCACCTGTAGCCTGTGGAAGGAACCCCATGCCGGAGCAGGGGGATGCCTGAAGGAAGCTGTGACCCCGTGGGGGGTCTGCACTGGAGCAGGCTCCTGCCAGGACCTGAGGACCCGTGGAGAGAGGAGCCCACGCCAGAGCAGGTTTGCTGGCAGGGCTTGTGACCCCGTGGGGGACCCACGCTGGAGCAGCCTGTTCCTGGAGGACTGCAGCCCGTGGAAGGACCCACCCTGGGGCAGTTTATGAAGAGCTGCAGCCCGCGGGAAGGACTCACGTTGGAGAAGTTTGTGGAGAACTGTCTCCCGTGAGAGAGACCTCACGCTGGTGCAGGGCAAGAGTGTGAGGAGTCCTCCCCCTGAGGAGGAAGGAGTGGCAGAGACAGCGTGTGATGAACTGACCATAACCCCCATTCCCTGTCCCCCTGCACCGCTCGGGGAGAGAGAAAAAGGAGTGAAGTTTCCAGGAAGAAGGGAAGGGTGGGGGGAAGGTGTTTTAAGACCTGGATTTATTTCACACTATCCTACTCTGATTTGATTGGTGATGAATTAAACTCCCTTGTCTTGACCCTTGAGCTTTTCATCATTTTTACCTCTCCCTGGTCCAGCTGAGGAGGGGGAGCAATAGAGAGGTTTTGGTGGGCACCTGGCATTTATCCAAGCCAAACCAAAACAACAAGGGAAGGGGCAGGACGCCAAAGCTGTTCCTTACCGAGGGTGACAGCGGACTGCTCTGGGACGTTAATGACGATTTCTTTGAGACTCTGCACGTACCGAATCCGATCGAGCAGAGGGATGAGGAAGTTCAAACCCTGGGAAAAGGGCAGGATTAGATGGCTGAGACCTCTGATCTGGGATTCTCCCCCCCCCCAAGACAGCTCAGCCAGACTAGAGAGAGCTGTGCAAACAAAGCCCCAGCAGGCTACACGCTGCAGATGCTGCAGGCAGAGCAGACATGCTTTGCGTGGTGGGGGGAATTCAGGTTTCTCAGTGCGTTTAACACCCCACCAAGGCGAATCAGTCTACAGACAGCCAAAAGGATTGCAACTGGAAGGATAAGCGCACCGCCCCCTGAATCCTCGCGCAAAGGACGTGCCTCGCTACAGCTTTAGGAACCTGCTGAATCCAGGAGGGGAGAAAAGCGGCTCCTTACAGGCTCGAGGATTCGGTGGAACCTGCCCATCCTCTCCACCACCCAGGCCTCCTGCTGCGGCACAAAGAGCACC